CAAAGGAATATCAAAATGATACCTGCAAAGCAGATACAACTGGACATTGAAGTATTGAAGAATAAAATGCATAAGCCTTTAGTAGCTACACATTGCTGCCATCTTTAGCACAAGAAGTCTGCACTGAGCATCAGGGAGCCACACAAGGCAGCTGCTCCCTGAGGAGCAGGGAGACAAGCACAGTCACACAACCAGCAGGGCAAGGACCACGCTGGCCAGCACCTGGTCCTGCTGTGCCCACACAAGGGAAACAGGGTAGGTCTGAGGATAGCAGGTAAATCCAGGGTCCAGCCCATCACCTGCTGAAATTGCAGGTGATGGGGCAGACCTGAGGCCAAACCAAGAAGTCAGCCTACGGGTTGTAATCAGATCCAGGGATCCAAGGAGAAAACATTACATGACATAATCTAAGTGAATGCTGGACAGAGCCCAGAGTAGACAAAAAAGACTGCCATCAAAATCCAGATCAACTGGCTCCATAGCTCTTCCAAGTATGAACTTAAATAGAAGTCCTGTGTCCATGGACAGAGCATGTGCAGAGACCCCAAACACAGCTGATCAGGGCCATGAAGGCCTGTTAGTTCTCTGACACTGAAATCAGGGATGTTGGCCCTAAATCACTCCTGTGGAGTCATCCAGATCAGATCTCCGATCATATGCTATCAATCCCATGAGGAGGGGCTAGACTTGCCTGATGCCAAACCTTAGTTAAGCCTTTCACAAACTGAAAGCCCTAGGAATTATACCACAAAGACATCTAAGCTGCTCTGCAGGGGAAAGATTGGATTTTTCCAGGTCTATGTTGGCTTTTGGGGCCAAACGATTACAATAGAAATATTATGCTGAGACATAAGAACCAGTTCCTTGTTCAATCACAAAGCATAGATTAAAGCATCTACCTTGCAAAGGCTTTCTCATATTTACTGGCTTTGCTATGAGAGAAGGCAGCTGGCCTGCTTGCAGACCAGACTTGTCCTTGAAAGCCATACGCCGTGCTGATGTGGTGCTTTGCCTGCAAGCCCAGCTGAGCACAAGCCAACCACTTTTAAAGTCTTTGTATCTGCAATACAGATAAATCACCTGCAGAACTGTCAGTTGGCAATATCTGAAAGAGAAGTCTTGAATAGCGTGTGTTTAATGCAGAAACTCTTTAATTCTAATTGTGGTTTTGACAATGACTTCCTCATTTAGTCTTTCTTGGCCTCAGTTCTGTAGATTGTATCTACCTGCGAGATAGGCAATGGAAAGTAAGTTAAGATCTGGAAGCATGCTGAATACAGTTTGCTTAAGCATTAATACTATTTTGTAAGACTGTGATTTCCTCTTCTGCCTCACTTATATTCAGATCCATTGAATCTAATCTAAATATTTTTGATTGGATATTCTTGCCCTGCAGCTGACAGATGACACATAGCAAACAAGTTTTCTAGCTATGGCCCAAGCTTTCCATGTGCCTTTGAAAATGACAACTTGAGAGTAGGCTGTAAGTCAGATGAAATGCCCTCTCTAGGGCAGTAGCTTGCCCCTATTTTCACTTTCCTTGGGAAATCTTGGGCCTTGTTTCACTGCATGACTGTCCATGAGAATATAATCACAGAATGGGTTTGATTAGAAGAGACCTTAAAGATCATCAAACCCCAACGCCCTAACAATGGTCAGGGTTGCCAACCACTAGATCAGGCTGCACGTGGTCCCATCCAACCTGGCCTTGATCCCTCCCTAGGGATGGGGCATCCACAACTCCTCTGGGCAGCCTTCTCCACTGCCTCACCACCCTCTGAGTAAAGTACTTCTTCCTAACGTTTAACCAAAATTTACCCTTCTTTATTTTAAAGCCATCCCCCCTTGTCCTAGCACTATCTGTGCAAACAGTCACTCCACTTCTTGCTTATAAGCTCCCTTCAAGTACTGGAAGGCTGGATTGAGGCCTTTCCAGAGTCTACTCTTGTCCAAGCTAAACAAAAATTATCCCTTTCCACCATGATGAACTTTCCAGCTATATGCTCTGTAGATACCAGCCTAACCACTCTGAATATCTGTTGATTATACACTGTCCAACCAATTCTTTATCTACTGAATAGTCCAGCCCTCAAATCCATACCTCTCCAACCTAGAGATAAAGATGTGTAACAGACCACAACAAAGCCCTTGCACAAATCTAGTGCATGAGAGCAGAATAACTGCTGTGCCTGGCCAACAAATGCAGTTTGGCAGTAAACACTGTGTCTACAAAGAGAGCAGCTAACGCTCTGTGCACCAGCCTGATGTTTATGGCTGCTTCAAGTCTACTGCATTTGTGCAGTAAGTCCTACTAATTTGTTCCAGAGTGTGCTAAGTGCACACCTCCTCCCCACATGTGAGCTGACAGCTCAGCTTGAGAAACTTGGTGCTACAGTATTTGCCAACTCCTTGACTGAATAGTCAAATATTTCTGCTCCTTAAAAACCTCACTGACACAGGTAGGGACTATTATGTTCCTGATTACACCAACAGGTCTTAATGGCCCTGACCAGCCACACCCGTGATCCCTACCTTGCACCCCAAGCCCAGGGCTCAACATTTTTTCCTCTTTTTTTTTTTTTTTTTTTTTAAGCTATGCTATAACTATGCTGGCTTTGTCTTTTGGCTCTGTTTCCTCTTAGATCCTTGCTGCTGGATGAGCTTCAGTCTTACCTTCAAATTTTATCTCCTACTGTTCCTGATCTGCCCTCGTGAGCAAACCTTGGATTTACTCAATCCACCTGCTCTGGGTACTGATGGAGCTGGTTCACAGCACCCAGCTCTGTGTTCTGCTGCAGGACTGTGCCCTATTGGCAAGGATCAGCCTGTGCTATGGTCGCTTTTGGCTCACTCCACCTTAGGAAGCAGCATTGCCTTATTTACTGGTTACCAGGAAGACTGAGGCAAATTATTGAGACTTGCTCAGCAATTTTCAATCTGCAAGCTATGCTTTTAGAAAAGGAAAAAAAAAAAAATCTTCAGTGTGTGCCAAGTCTTGTGTGGGAGAAGCTTTTGACTGGTGGTGGTTTTGGGTGTGAGTTGAGGCAAGTGAACAGCCAGCCAGCCAGCCAGATCATCTTTCCAGCTATATGATCTCTAAAGACCAGCCTAACTTCTCTGTATACTTGTCAACTCTACATCTGTATATTTGTTGATTTTACACTTAAATATTCCTTCCAGTTTGCAGCTATGCTCTTGAGTATCCTGGTGTTAATGCCCTCCCCTATTATACCATCAGTCTGTCTGGGAAGAATGAGTCTTACAGTAAGTGTAACCTGAAAGACATTAAATATGCTGATAACTTTTAAGAATGGGACATAAAAACAAGTCACTAGAGAAATTCTTTAAAGTGCTTACACGCTTCAAGGTAAAAAGATGAAGTGATAGCAGTGAGAATGTACATAACGAAATATTGCTGTAGATGGTCAAGAAAACAGAATTCCAGAGCACTTAATATAGACAAGTTAGTGAATTACATATTAATAAGTTTTAGGCTATGCACAAATTCACTGTTGAATGCACTCCTGTTAGTGCACCTCTGAGACATTTGGCACATAATTTCACAATATAAGCTTCTTACTTCTTTCCTAAAAAGTGTGTGGTACACACTTCTGTAACTCACAAGGTCTAGCAAAGTATCCTCCCAACACACCACACCTCTGCTGAAAGTAAGTAGCAGCCATTTATGCAGCTACCAGACCTTTCTAGTCACTTGTAAAACTACAAAATTTTCTGATGTTTGTGCTGTTGCAATGCTTCTGTGAGAAAACTGTAGGTAGCAGAAATGAAGCTTACTGCTGGAGCTGTCAAAGCATTATGATTGTGTTTCAGTGAGACCTTCTCCTGAGCAGAACCCCAAAAGAATACAAGCTGGCTGAGGTAAAACCATACCAACAGTGGCTATAAACCTGGTTACTTAACCCATAGGATAGTTGCTTTCACATTAGAGAATAACTTGATTAGATAACTTGAGCAAAAATTATGAGTTTCCCTGGTGTATTACAAACATGAGAAGGCTCAGTTAGTGGCTGCAAAGGACACGTTTCAGATTTTCCCAGCAAGAGAAGTCCTTGCACACCCTTGCTAAGTATTTTTTATGGCTGGGAAAAAAAATGCACATTGCAGCAGCCACTCCCCAAATAAGTAATGATCAAACAAAACAAAGTAAAGTTTTCCAAATGCCGCAACTTAATTTTGAAGGAATGTTAAAGGAAAAAAATACTAATTTCTGTTGAATGCAATTTGACATCAGCAGAAAGAAAAATGTTCCAGCAGATTTGTTTGGAAATTAGTTTCTTGTACAAGTGTTGACTGTTTTCTTCTTATTGAAAGACTGACCTTTAAAAAAGAGATTTTGACATGTTGAACTCTTGAAACTTGGCTTGATGAGTATGGGGCAAAAAGCGCGAGCAGTACAATGGTCACAGCATTGGCTTTCTGACCAGTGCTGTGTAGTTGTGCTGTCCTCACCTGAGGACAAACTTCTGTCATCGGCTTTTGAAAATAAACTGAAGTGAATGGCTCCTGGTAAGCCCTAAGTGTTCAGCAAAGGCGTTGCGGGCAGCTAGAAAAATCGCCAAGAAAAATGTTGACATCTGCAGAGACGATTCTGGCTTTTATCACCGTGATTGTGAAACATAACTTCTGCTGTTGCAGCACCCGCTTCCCTTTCTCATGCGTTCTGAAACTTGCGCACGGACACCGAACGTTTCCATTCTCGCAGGGTACGAAGTCCTAGGAAAGCTCGGCGCTGCAGGGCGAGGCGGTCACGTACACGCTGAAGGGACGCCTGCCACGTGCCCGAGCCTCACGGTCCGACCGAACCGAGGCGCAGTTCCCGCGAGCCTCCCCGCAGCCTCTGACGCTATCGGCAGGCGCCGCAGCGCGGCCGGGCGGCCCGGCCGTGGCTCGGCGCGGCGCGGCCGCAGAGAGGGTGCCGGGCGGCCCCGGCTCCGCCCTCGCTCCGCGGCGGCGGCCCCGCGCGGCGCCATGCGCTGCCCGCTCGCCGCCTGAGGGAACCGCCGCTGCCCTATGGCCTCCCCGGCGGCGGCGGCGGCGGGGCCCGGCGCCGCGCTGCCCCCGGGCCCGGCGCGCCGCGACTTCTACTGGCTGCGCTCCTTCATCGCCGGAGGTGGGTGCGGGCCCTCCGCAGCGCGGCGTCCCGGCCGCCTCTGCTCGGCGCTGGGCCCGTCCTGCGAGCCGGCTGGGGCAGGGCCGCTTCTGCGTCGGGGTTCCGTGACGCTCCTGCCGGGGCAGAGCGACCTCGGGAAGCGTGAGCTGTTTAAAATTTATTGTTATTTTCGCCCCTAACGCACTTGACTTCGTATAGGCGGGTAGCTTGCGTGCGTTTCGGAGTCGGTGAGAGGCCCAGCGTAGCTGCCGGCTGAGCGTGCCAAGGCCCCGTGCTGCCGTTGTGACTCCGGGGCAGCCCGCTTATCGGTGCCCCGAGAGATGCCCGGCCGTTGGGCTGCGGTGGTGCGAAGGAAGTCAAGCCAACGCCAAACCGCGCCGCCAGCTCCTTGCAGCAGAAGCACGTCGTGTTCTCCCTGCGGGTGTTGTCACAGGTGTCTTGTAACGTGGCAAGGAGGCGTGAGGTTTATTTCAGGTTTTCTCGTGCTCTCGCTGCGGTTCTTGCTTTCAGCCTGGAGCCCCAGAGGAACGTGTGCGGACGCAGGCTGCCGCTCTGGGGAGCTGCTGTGCCCACACATAGCTCGGGCTGGTACAGAGGAAGCAGGCGTTGCTCTGCGGCAGCTTTCTCTGTAATTTATTGCCGGGACCTGACTGGCCAGCCTCGGCTGTGTGGTTGAGCAGAAGCAGAGTGTGCTGATTTTCAGTCGAGCTTGAAGAGTTGTGTAGCATACTTTTAATAGGAACCTTTTGCTTTTTTGGGGGCTTTCTCAACTTACTAATTTTCTCATTACCTGCTCCATTTAAAAATAGCTTATAAAAATCTATTATTTATCTGCTGAGTCAAAGGGCTTTGGCATCCCATTGGTTTTTCTCTCCCTTTGGAAAGGTGTTGCGGGATGCTGTGCCAAAACAACCACTGCACCACTTGATCGAGTGAAGATCTTGCTGCAGGCTCATAACCACCATTACAAACATCTAGGTAAGATGGATGCTGCCTGTGTCATCAGCATTTTTGAAGTGTGGTATGTATCATTTAGGTTTGCTGATTTATTACGTGATCCGACTGTGATAAAGAGAAGTGCTGATCAGACAGTAGGTTGTTTCTGGCTGGCTCATCCCTTTGCCATATATTGTGTTAAAAAACACAACAGTGTTTGAAGAACACCCTTAAATAAGAGGCATTGAGCATGTACAGGTGGTACTGGTTGACAGGTTAGAGATGTTAGAATAATCCTTGATACTGCATAAGAGCTGTAGCTTGATCCTCTTCTTACTGAAGTCAGCAGGAGATTGGTAATCAGACGTTCAAGCTCAAGATTGTGTATATAAAAGCTGCCACCACTGGTAACTGCTATCCTTATAGGTGGTACTAGTGTGCAGGGCTTGTGGGAACAGGTGCTTTCCAGAGCCTGGAAGTCCTTGCAGAGGGGCTGGTGTTTACAGAGCCATGAGTGCTGAGACCTGCAAGACTTCTGCACTTACTGCTGCAGACAGAAGTGTGATCGATCCAAGTTGAAAAGAAAAGCGGACTTGTGCTTTGCATGGGCTGATGTGTTCAGCATCTGTGCTGCATCATGGTGAGAGAATAAACTCAGAACTGGCAGCATGTTCAGAACTAGTCTCTGTGGGGCTGTAACAGTGCCCTCTTGTGCAGAATATGGAGATATTTTATGTCATACGTTCTTCAAATGTGTTATAACTTACATTCAGAAAGTCAAGTGTGTATCAAGAAGAAATGTTTCTGATTTAGTTAATTTCTTACATGTCATGAAACTTAGAAGTTTTTATTTAAAGATCATGTTTTAAAGGCTGGAGAAATAAATATTGAAATGAAATACAAGGGTGTTACGTTAATGGAAGGAAGACAAGAGGCATATGACAGCTCGGTAACACAGTCACTTAAGTATGTATTCAAATGTGCAGCCTGACAACTGAAGGCTGAAGTAATTGGTTTGACTAATATTTTAAATTGTTATTTTCTGTTTAGTTTGTTTAGTGCCATAGCTGGCAAGCTAAGTCTTAGATTTGTTCCTACATACAGTGCTATGTGTGATTTTGATCATTAGAAATGCGTTTGACTTGAATTAATGTTCCTGTTACGTGTAGGCAAAGAAGAAAATTATGTGGATGACATACCTATTTAGTGCAGAGAGAGTAGGTTGGTTCATCATGGCCTCATAAATCTGTTTCCTGCCCTTTCTCTGTGGAGTTCATAACATTGTGGATCTCAGAGCATTTGCTGTAAGAAATAAAAACAGTATCTCATCAATTCTAGTCACAGCATAAGCATTTTTAGAGGCATGTAGTAAGTGTAAAATATTGAAGATAGATTTAATACTGTATTCTTGGAACCCCTGAAACTAACATTTGCTTGATTTAATTTTTAAATGGAAGCTTATCGTCAGCCTTCCTTGTCTTTTTTGCCTGAAAAGAAGAAATGTGTAAGCTTTTTTCAGGTTCAGCTCTACTGTTATTAAGTAGCTGTGTATGAATGTGAAAACAGATCTACTATTATATTTTTTTCCTTTACTTGAGAGAAAAAAGGCAAAAAAAACCCAGACATGTCAATTCGATAGCATTTGTGTATAATTAAAAATGGGTTCAACATAAAACTGTAGGTTTTGCCCTAACTTTGTGTGATCTTGCATTAACACCTGTTAAGAGGGAGTAGGATTGCTTCTTCTTACAATGTCTCTGGGACAGGAAGTGTAAAATGCCTAAGTTGTAAATAATGATAGTCTCAAACTTGTTTAATTAATTTCCTCAGTGATGGTATTTACTTTCTAGGTTGGCATGTAACAACAGTTGAATGTTTGCCCATTATTTTAGATATTTATTTTTATTTTAAATTGATTTTTGATTTAACTGAAATGCAACTCAGCTTGCTTCCTTCTGTTGCTAATTGTAGCTTTCGTGTGTGAATATTATCATCTGCAGGGGGATTGCTGGTAGTCAAGTAAACATGGGACTTGAGATGCAGGAATTCAGAAAGCTCACTGAATCTGGGAGGTGGGAAAGTTGGTAATAACCTTAAACCTCTTCCTTGTGTCAGTGGCTGGGCGTGGAAAAGTGCTTTTTCCACTCTCCATCGTTACATGAGCAATGAGGTTGGGCTGTATTACTGTGCATACTTTCCTGTTGCCAGTAATACTCGCTTGACTTTTTCTTCCCCAATGTAATTGTTAAATACCTCTTTTTGCATTGCTAACAGGAGTGTTTTCTACGCTGTGTGCTGTCCCCAAAAAGGAAGGTTACCTTGGGCTGTATAAAGGAAATGGGGCCATGATGATTAGAATCTTTCCATATGGTGCAATTCAGTTTATGGCGTTTGATCAATACAAAAAGGTAGTGGAATTTATTTTGTTTTCTTTTTTTCCCCTTGGTACAGTGAATACTGATATTTTTTAAGTGATAAAAACTAACACTGAAACTTCTGTGTCTTCTTATTACTCTGTACATCTTCCACAAGGTTGCTTGATTTTATATGAATCTAACCCTTAAAAATGTCAGGGCAGCAGTGAAACAGCTTGCAGTGTTTAAGGAAAACAAAATTCCCAACAGTTTTTATAGCTTTGTATTGTGTATTGTATGTGTGCCTATGCGTGTGCAAGTAAATATATATATAAAGTCTGCTGTTGTGTTACTAAAAAACAGTGCTTTGTAAATGAAATAGAAACAAAATAGAAAATGTAAGCTCTTTAATGTTTATTATACTGTGTTGGAGTTTCTTAGTACCTGATGGGTAGAATAACTTCAACTTGCAAATCTGTCTGGCTGAATGACTGTTATGTTTTACCTGAGAAATGACTGTCAGCGTAGATAAAAATGAGCTGGAAGAAAAGATATGGTCATTTCAATGGCCTGCAAAATGTGCGTGTTCCTTTCTATTCTCATGCATTTACTCTTTCCTAATGCATTCATAATAAATTCATCAACATCATTTGTGAAATGTCAGACGTTAGCATGACTGTGTTCTTAAGCTTCTATATGGTGAAACATGCAATGTTACATTAGTTGTGAGAAATTTCATATTGAAAGCACAAATTTAGTACCATTGAAGTAAATAGTAGAACCTTCACTAGAGAGTAAGTTTCAGATTGGGATTCCTTTTCCAAAAGAGCAAATTCCAGCAGGGTGATACAAAGAGCTAACTGCAGTGAGCTTGGTGTGTTCTTTTATGTGGTAATTATAAATGCTCTTGATTAAAACACTATGCTTGTTTTATGCTGTGTTGAACAAAAGAGTATGTGATATGTTTTATAAGGAGGTGGTTTAATAATCCACAAATTTCAAGAAAACATTTAATTTCATAGCACTTTCTCTTATCTATTAACAACAGACATTAAAGATGCTTTGCAGGAGAGTTTGAAAGGCAAAAACAAAACCAACAAAACAGTTCTTAAAGAGAGAACATGTGAAATAATCCTATGAATAATTCGTCATAAGATTAACCACTTCTTAATATTTCTGAGTTACTTGATGTAAGTCTGAAGGCTAGTTTCTTGCAAGACCTAATGTAGTTTAGGAAGTTCTTGTTCTCAATACTTGCTCAGTTTCCCTCTTTTTTTTTTTTTTTTAAATGCAGTTGAATTCATAAAAGTTTCCTTATTAGAGTAAGTTTCACATGCTCTGCACGAGAAAACAGTTTTTCTTATTAAATGTGTAAGTCTTCAACTTTGCTCAGTGTTCTTTGCACCCTATAATGTGAAAGAGATAGTATGCAGTTTGCCTTGGTTGAACCAGGTTAATAACTCAAAAAGCAGTCAATAAGCTTCTGAAGTACAAATAATTTCAACTGATCATTCTGCCTAGCTAGAGGAATGTTGGTCCTCTGGTGTCCTTAGTAGGAAATTGGTACCAACCTAAATTTTCAAAAAAGTTTTTAGCAGTGATTAAGTGCTCTGGTTTGAGTTTGTAGAGTTGTAAACTTGTTATAGGAGCCACAGAGTTTGCATTCATGTGCTGGTAAAACGTTGTGATGCATTTCCCTGTATTTACTCCTATAAAACTGTCACAAATGTTCCATATTTTGTAGGTAATAAAGAAGCACCTTGGGATTTCAGGGCATGTGCATCGATTGATGGCTGGATCCATGGCAGGTATAGCTTTGGACTTGCATTTCAGACATCCTTTTCACTGAAAAGTCAATGTTTATTCAGAGGGTTATTTAATAAGTTTTCAGGTCTAACTTTTGCAAATTTGTATTGAGTAAAAATACTTGTAAATGGTTCATGTAACAGGTACCTAATTGAAAAATGTGTATTCTTTGAAATTGTTCAAACACTGAATTCCCTGCTGAAATGTAAAGCGTGATATTTGTGGTGTTCATTGTGGCTTCTGAAAAATGAACAATCCAAGTGCCATCAGGATGAAGAATAAAGATGGAGGTTTTATCAGAATTGGCTCATCAGCCAGTCAGCCATTGCTGTTAAGTTGAACGTGAACCCAGAAAAGTTGAGAGATTCTTTTGGTTTCCCAGAAATGTTTATATTTTTGATCTGCGACGTAGGAATTTGTGCAGTAGCAATAGGAAAAAATGATTGTAAGCTGCCAGTATATGAAGTGATTGTATGTGTCTGTTCTTCTCCTGCTGGTCATTTCTCAGCCAAAGTAGCTCAGAGTAAACAGAGGAAGTTAAACAGTAGTGAGCAAATTTTTGGTCAGCATGGTTCTTTGTATGTGTTTTGACATCGTAAAGCAGTGTTTATACTGTCCATTGACAGTCCTTCATTAGCTCTGATGTATGAAAATGTAGCTTCTTTTTGAGGGGGAGAAAAGGAAAAAACAAATGCAACTATTAGTTAAATTAGAAAGAAGCATGAAAGCATTTTGTTTTGCATGCCATCTGAGAAAAGGGTAAGAGAATGAAGAGAGGCAATTCAGAGATCTTAAAATCTAGGAAAACTTGGAAAAATCAGTTAACCCTGTCAGTGTTGACATGCAGGAATTCATAGATAATTCATAGATAAATTTCTAGGATCTGGTGTAGCTTTGAGTAATTTTCTAGTTAAGTCAGTTTTGTGTGGTTAGAGTGACAGAAGTAAAATCAATATACATTGCTGTCTGGTAACCTTGATCAAATGACATGAGTAATGTGGTACATTCTACCAGTAGTATGAGCTAGACATAGGTGTGCAGTGAAAATGAATAGAGCACACAGGTAGAGTAATATCATGACATTGCTGAGTATAAGTAAGGTATTTGTTTACCAGGTAGCACTGGCATTAGATAAGGAGGGTTTGTATGCCAGCAAAATACAGGGGAGGAAAATGTTACCAAGAAGAGCATAGCCCAGAATTTTAGATGTACGAGTTCTCTGGAATTGCAAGCGAGATGAGAAGACTTTTAAAAGCAGCTAGAGATATTTCTTGTTTTAACTCCCACGACTTAGGGCGCCTGTAAGGGGATGTTATTTTGCTTCATCCGTATTTAAATAACTAAAGGAGAATGCGCTTCATGCACCTTAGTGTTGGTGGAGAGAAGTCTTTACAGTTTCACAAGGGGTAGGGCTGTGCAGCTGAAAATGGCAAGGTATTCCTTTTTGTCCCTGTTGTGCCCAGCTGCCTGCATTCACATGAGTGCATGATACAGTTACTTAAATCTTGCTTGTGTCAGTGTTTCCAACATTGCTAACAATCATCAGACCCGAATCAGCTTCAAAATGGTGGGAAACTTTTTAGTATCTTTTGTAACTGATAAACGGGATCAAAGGCTTATCCACAGGGAAAGGCAAGGCGGGGAGGTAGTGGAATGAGAGTCAAGAAGAAGCTATTGTAATGCATACGTTTAAGGAGGCCGAGCTAAAGTTACTGGGGAAACTTCAACTCTGAATTTCCTGAGTCTTGTGTGATTCAAATTTCAGCTGTAACACCTCATTAACAGATAAATTACTTATAACTGCTTTTAAGTAAAAGCAGAGCTGAGGAGAAGACAGAGAAATCATAGATGTTAGTAGGGTCTAGGAAACGAAGTAGTCTGCTAATGCCTGTATTACAGAAAGGCTTTGCAACTCTGAATCTTTCAATTTTCCTGCAGAAAAAAAGTGAAGTAAAATACAGAAATGCCTGTTTTTCTCCCCTGCATTTGATTAACCAGGGAGGAAAAAAAAAAAAAGCCGAAAAACCAAAACACACAAACGAACTGACAAAGACCCTAATACAGGAAGCCTGGTGGTTGTTGTTTGATTTTGTTTTACTTAATAAATGCAATTGGAAAATGCTGTGGATTAGGAGAATAATGCGATGTCAATTTTAAATGGGACGTAAATAAGTCATTTAGTCGAGTCAACATTTTAAAACAAACTGAGTCTACTTTTTCAGGTGCAATTTAGCAAGAAATACAAGCAGGTGCTAAGTGTCTAGACATACCTGGACTTGTAAATCATGCAGTTCTATGACCTGTCTGATGCATGTTCTTTGTCATCAGCTTTTTCTGTCTTCATATAGTTCATGAAGCTTTGCTTTTTACGAACATGCTTTCTTGATAAATTAATCTCTTTTATACTTGTGAAGGAATATGTCTCCTGCAGTTGAAGGCTTTGACTTCTGTTTGTAGTTTTTGAAACTGTACACCTTAGAATAACTTGGTAGTACTAATTTGGTCTATGCAGAGCGTGATGTAGAATTCAGAAAAACATGTGCATCAAATATATTTGCGATACCTGATCTTTGTAAGCCTGTTTCACTTGTTATTTCTTCACCCTGGGTATTTTATTTTTTATTTCAAGGAAAGAAAATGAGGAATAGTAGGGAAATTGTGAGACAGCTATTTGCCTATACAGCTACTCTCATTGTCAACTTCCAAAGCATGGACCGTCTAATACCTGTTGTGCTTCATTTGTGCTAAGCCTCAGTAGAAGTTTGCGTAACCCAGTATCTTGTCCCCAAGAGTGGTCAGAGGTGCTTGAAGAAGTGATTCAGTAAAATGTTCTCTCTGTGACAATTTTTTTACTTCAGCGGGGTAGGGACTTCTGAGTCAACGTTTGCAATGAAAAAGTTGCTGTATTTGAAGAAAGTAGTACCTTAGAGGAGGAGGAATGGTATTTGTCCTATTAGGATTACTTCAAATAAGATTTCAGATAAGATATCTTCAGATAAGATAAGATGGGATTTGCTGTACCTGTCTCTGAACTGGGCAGAGACTTCCAACTCTGTCCTGTTAAACCAACCATGGGAGAGATTTCTGGATAGACTTAGATTAGTTGAAAAGCATTGCTTCCTCGGGAGAGAGAATCAGCCTTAAGGTGTTCTGGTCTGTCTTCTGTTAAGTCATAGTCTTTAGGGAGCAGAGATGAGATTAGCATTTTTGTAAACTTCTCCAAACCTGACTACTGTTCCTCACAGAGAGATGATGTCTCTCCTGAGCCTCAAAGGAAGTGTGAATCCTTCATGTTCATAACATTCAGCTCTTATGAAAAGTAAGCAGTAACATGCCACTTTGACTTGCTTCAGGAAAGCATATTTTGTAGCTTTTTCAAACTGCAAAGGTTAGAAATCCTTTTTTTTTTCTTTTTTTTTTTCTTTTCCTCTCCAGAGTCCATCTCTACACAATTTTAAAATAAAGTGAAAAAATGAGTCCTATTTAAAGGTCCTGTTTAGTGGATATGACTTCTTTCAGTCCAGTCTGATTTTTTTCTTCTGACTTGTGCTGTTTTTGGACTTAGTGTTGAGTATTAGTACTTCTACTAACTCTTGGTTGGTCTGTTTGCTTGTCTTTGTACAGAGAATATTCCTGGATGCTTATCAGTGCATGACATGAAAAAAGAAGGGGGATAAGTTTGTGTTTTGTATTAGGATAACTTTCTTGTGAATTCTTTAAGCTCCATAAAAGCCTTTTCTTTTTTTCCACTCTTTTATTGAAATTGCTTCAATTGTCAATTTTACAGTATTTCTGGACATCTTGGAAAATTCCTTGTGAAAAGGGTGCAGGGATTGAATTTAATAATGTAGGTCAGTGGAAAGAGTCCTAAGATTGCTCTGGTGTTTTGCAGCTTCCAGCTTTTGAATCCTGTGGGTGAGACTGTATCAAAAATCAACTGCAGTTGCCTGCTTTTTTTTGTGTGGAGGAACGGTCCAAAATATCTAAAAAGATGTTTTTTGTCTTCTAGAATAAATGTTACTGGTAGGAAACTCCAGAAAGACACAAACTCAGTTGATGGTTGACCAGTATCAGCTTTTTCCATAGCCTCTTCATAGTGTTCTTCTTTTTTTTCCTAACCCCCATTTGATGTTGATGTTTTATGTCAAGATCCTCCTGCCACTATTCAGCGATTGTTCTCTCTCCGGATATGAAAGTTAGCACACTTTGCTGAAACAGCTGTTGTTTTTTTAAATCTTTCTTTCAATTTCATCTCTTTCCTGTTGTGGCTTTCTCTTGACCTTATGCAAGAGGTGGGAAATTGTGCACGTACAAAAAGAGATATGATTAACAGACTATTAAAGCTTGAGAGGAAGTGCAGTTACCTACCAGTGCTCAAAAGGTGCTCATCTTCTGTAGGGTCAATTTTAAGGGTGTTCTTTAGATACAGAAGAGCAGCTGCTAGAAAGCAAAATGTAAATCACAAACACTTTTGCTTTCTTTCTCTCTTTTTTTCAGTTGTTTTATTTTTATCAGTGCCAGTGTTAGAACACCAGAAAATAATCTGTTTTTAATAATCTGTTTTAACCATTCCCTCCGTATAATTTGACAGTAACTGAGTGGCTTAACTCAAAGACTAGCAGTAGTAAGGACTTGGTGTTCAGGTAACTGTTAGAGGAGTTATTCTTTGTACTAGAGGTCTGTTTACAAAATGATAAGTTGACTCCTAAGATTTGATTTTTTTTTTTTTTTTTTTTTAGCATCTTGTTAAGTCTAGAAATAGCTGTTTTAGTTAAAGCTTGAAAAACAGGTAGTGTAATGTGAACTATAAAAATACAGCAATGCAGTGCAGTTCAGTACTCTTCATGACTAGGCTCCTGAATGGACTTAAATACTGTATTTTCAGGTGCAATAAATAAATACATCCAGTAATCACATATTTGAATTTTGACACAAGTTTTTGGAAGTTAAACATATTAATGGTGCTTCATTTATTTACTAGATAATGTAGGATTAGATTTTGTGATTGCAGTCCAGTAAAGGCTGATGCACTTGACTAGCCATATGTTTGTGAGCTATGAAGAAGACTCCTTATGTGAAACAGTTAAGTCTGTAATCAAGGCATAAATGTGCAGCTTCAGTGAACACCAAGTATAAACATAAATCCTTTGTGTGTTGCTGAGGTTCCTGTTTGATAAGTGGGTTTTCAAGTACTTTTTCAACAAAATAATCTTGTGTATGTTATTACATTCACTGCCACAAAAGGAAATTCTGATTTTCAAAATAATCCTAGAAACAGATAAGGTGTAGGTGAGTTTTGTTTGCTTGTTTTGTTTTTGTTTTTAATAAAGGTATTACAGCAGTGATTTGTACTTACCCTCTTGATATGGTTAGAGTTCGTCTGGCATTCCAAGTAAAAGGGGAACACAAGTACATGGGAATTATCCATGCATTCAAGATGATTTACACAAAGGTATTTTTTCTTTTAATCTTCAGTCCTATGAAAGCAAAATATACTCTTTAAATGATGTTGCACTGCACTGAAATTAATTACCTAGTGGAAAATGAGTTCACTGCGTGCGCACATTGAACTTAATGTAAAAAATTATCTGGATGCTTCCTTCTACTTAGGCTGCTAAGATGGAGCTAAGACTTATATAAGTGGGAGATGAAAACAAAGAAAAGTTGTTTTTCAGTAGCACATAGAAGTGTTACCAAAATATTTGGGGAGGAGGGATATGTGTAATGCCAAAATGTCTCGGAGGTTATGATGCTGGATGCAGATTTTTTTTCATTTTCCCTTCTGTATCTCCTGTGGAGCTAGGTAGTTGTCCCATCAATTCTTCAGACACAAGAAATGCAACTTGGTTTTAGCTCCTTGTTGCTACGTGATGCTAGTCAGATTGCTGTTGTGAATCTGTACAAACAGATGTGTAGTTTAAGACATTTATTGTATTTCTTGCCACAAATGTGAATGTATTTTTCTTTCAAAGGAAGGTGGTTTTAGTGGGTTCTACAGAGGGCTGATGCCAACTGTGGTAGGAATGGCTCCATATGCGGGTAAGTTAAAAACAGAACACAGAAATCCCTCAGCATTTATGTGCACTACTAAATTTGCTTAATATATTTGCACATCAAATTAAGTAGCTTACATTAAAATGAAGGCTTTTTATTTTACTGAAAGGAGAGCTAGAAGCATTTGTGGATGTTCAGTCTTTACCTAAATTGATCAGTGTGTGTTGAAGTCCCTTCAGTAGGCAAAATTTAGGTTTTCTTGAAATCAGGAGTGAAAGAGAGAAAGTAGTGGTTCTTTTGTCTGCTTCCCAGTTTTACCCCACAAAAGGTGTGCAGGTTGTCTCTCCCACATAGATCCGTAAGAGGGCAGAGCCCTGTAGATAGTCGAGTCTTAGAGGCTCTCTATTGGCTCCATCTCCTGGTGACTTCTGTATAAATACTTAGCCAAGCTAAAGCAGTGGATGACGTGGGATGGAGGAACATCAGAAATGACTGCTGAAACTGCACTCATCTTTAGATGATGAGACTCGTTTTTTGGTTAAACAGATCTTAGGGGTTACTTTTAACAGCAAACCAGTAATTTGAAAGCCACAGTTGAGTTATTTAAAGCACTCTTAATGCTAATTATAACCAGTAACTAATTTGAACAGAAATTATGGTAAAGCTCTAAGTATTATTTATCTGTTTCTCTTACTTAAGAAAAACTTCTAATAGGATTGGAAAATAACTTATTTTTGTAATTGCAGCTTTTTGTTTATGATGATGATAAGTACATCAACAAATATTTTGCTCTGTTATGAAAGTACATAAAATTAAATTTCCTTTTAGGTTTTTCTTTTTTTACCTTTGGTACCTTAAAGAGCATTGGACTTGCTCAAGCACCTAACTTGCTTGGACGGCCTTCCTTAGATAATCCCGATGTCTTAGTTTTGAAAACACATATAAATCTGCTGTGTGGTGGCATAGCTGGAGCAATAGCTCAGACGATATCGTAAGTTTGGGTATTGATTGTTATTTTTTTTATATAGATATTTGTTCTAGAAAAAAGTGTTTTGTCTGAGAATATGATTTTTTAAAAATAAGTCTAGTGTCAATAAGGTTTTTTTTCAGTCAGACTGTGATTCAGTTATTTCATATCGTTTCACTTAATAAATATCTAATCCTCAGCAGCTGTAAAGATAAATGCACTGAGTCAATTAAAACAAACAGACAAAACTAAAATCAGCTGGAATCTTGTTTGGGATGCTATGAAATTTGGACCATTAACGTCATTTGCGTAACTGTATTATTCCAGTTTATTTTAAGATGGTATAACCTGCAAACTCTAAGAATTGGAAAAAGAAAGCCTAAGATGTTGTGCTTGGCATTACTTTCTTATTACTTTGCCTGTTTCCTCCATTCTCATACTGTCCTTGCCATGTTTTCTTTTGGCCACAAATCAAATCGATCTGGTAGACTTCTATGGCATCAGTTTTTCACTGAATCACTCACTGCATTACATTACATATGTAACATGCATTTTCTGTTAATCTTTAAACTGTTTATTTTATTTTTGCTTCAGGCGTCTTCTCCCTCCAGTGTTTTACAGACTGTTTTATACTCTCATCTGATCTTCATGTGTCTTCCTTACTCGTGCCAAATGGAATATATTAAGAGATCTGATTTGCTGGTTTTGGTTGTATAGAGGGAGTCTCCCTTTTTGGAGAACTTTCAGCTGTGTTGAGAATCTAAGCCGAATTCATGACTCATTGAAAAGGGAGATTGGAGTTTGTAGATGGACTCTTTATATATATATATATATAAATTAAAAACAAACAAACAACACAACAGTATTTGTATAGTCATCACACATCTAGTTGAACTGCTGTTCAAATATCTCCTGTGTAGATATCCCCTTGATGTAACTCGCAGGCGAATGCAGTTAGGAGCAGTTCTCCCGGACTCTGAAAAGTGCCTGTAAGTATTTTCTTTTCACCTTCAGTAACTGAATTCTTTGATATCTGAGTGATGTTGCATTCTTGGTTTAAAAGGTTTTTTTTTTCTTTTTTTTTTTAAAAAAAAAAAAACAAAAACAAAAACGTTCCTGTGCTGTTGATTTCTTCATGCTTTTAGTGAGATGTGTTACGTTTCCACACAGTTGGACAAAAGCTGAGGTTCAAAAAGAAACACCAAAATTGAAGTACACTTTTGTGTTGCTACTAATACTGTATATGAAAAGATGTTATGTGCCTTTTTACTCAACTAACTGATCCTTAGCATCACTAGGATTCCTGAGGGACAAACTACCTGCTTCTACTGCTTTAATACTGCTGTAATACTGCTTTATTTAACCTGCTTGATTAACCTCAATTACAGTAACATTGCACACACTGATTGTAGTTGGAGTTCCTACACTTTTTTAGTTACATGCGTGAGTCCAGTAGAGGATGAAGTATCATAATATTCTTAAAATCATAGTATTAAATTAGGCATCATGGTGGAAAACATTCTGAGCTTCAAACTGTTTTTCATTAGCAGAGTAAGGTTTTCCCCTTGACTGCTTTCTAGTCCAGGTGCTTCTAAAATAAGAATGTGCTAATTGTCCTTGGATTTTGCTTCCTGCATTTGTGAGAACTCACATTTTTACAATTAGACTTTCCCACTTAACAATTCTGTTATGATTGTTTGGAGAGAGTAGGATAGTAGCCATTTATCTTTAGAGGATGGTAGATTAATAGAAGAAGGAAACCTTGAAGTTTTGAAGCATATTGAAGATGTTTTCAAGGAGTAATAATTTTAATAGCTTGGAAATGTTGAGCATCTTACAGATTTTTACTCAAAGGCTTTGCATTTTAATGACTACTTGTTCAGTTTCAGTACAGGTATGTGAGGAAAATCTTCCTGCTTGCATAACTACTGCAAATTGTATTTCAAATAAGGTCAAATATCGTATTTCACACAAGTTGTTGCCTTTATCTCAAGAAGAAACAGTTTTTGCTTGGAGCAGGGAGGCTTACACATGCGAGTTATAGAATACAGGGCTAAACAGAAACTTTATCTGCAGAAATTTAATGTGTGATCCTGTGCTCAAACAAACAAACAAAAAGAATGGGATGCAAAACCTGAATACTGATGATTAATGTAAGAAGTGTGCACTGCCGTGGGCAAATTTGTTTTTGTTAGTCCATATTACAAAGGAATAATATTAAACTATTGTCGTCTTCTGTAAGACAAAAATGGTGCTTCTCAACTTCTTCCTGACAGATAGAGAATAATGTGTAGTCACCATTCTGGTGTAAAATTTCTGATTATGTCTTTTAGGGCAGATTATTTTTAGGCTGAAGCTTCTTTAGATGGAACTGCACCATCCTCTTTCCAGTTTCCAGCCTTTGAGCCCAGATTTCTGGCAGAAACTCAGCCTGTTTTATGAGTCCTAAAAGGATTGTCGTGCTCTGCTATATGGAGTCTCATGTTTTTCCATATGTCACTTTTAAGAACCAAGTAAAAGAACGTCTTATATTTAAGAAAGTGACTCTAACTGTCGAATGTGTATATTCAATAATGATCCAAGTTCCTGTTTTTCCAGTACAATGGTGCAGACACTGAAATACGTGTATCAACAACATGGAATACGAAGAGGACTGTACCGTGGTCTGTCACTGAATTACATTCGTTGTATCCCTTCCCAGGCTGTGGCTTTTACCACGTATGAACTTATGAAACAATTCTTGCGCCTCAACTGAACTTTTTTAAGCTTTAATGTAAAAGTTACGCTGGTGAATAAACTACTTGAAGTTAAATATATATTGTGGCACTGCTGTTGTCGGACAACTTAATTTTAATTGCCAAGATTTAATTAAATTGTAGTCAAACTAGGAGACAGATCATAATAAGCATTAGTTAGCGAGAAACGTTTTTTGCACTTAATCTTATAGGCTTCATTAGATAAACCTTAAGAACTGCACAGTTTTAAAATTACACCCACATTTTATAGAGGTTTCAAGCTGTTAGTTGTTTAGCTTTATCACCATTCCAGGAGTTAAACACATGATTATATTGCTTTCTGAGCTACTCGTTAGACATCTGTTCTTCCTTAACATTTTAATTGATTAAATTTATTTGAATAAAATGGAACAGTTTTCTTATTCAACTACTTGCCAACTCTGTTGAAGCTGAACTTGGTAGACCACAACTTAACCATTTTTTCTTTTTGCCTTTTGTACAAGTTGTCTGTATGTTAAGAACAAAGCATGTATCTTCGTGTGGGTATATATGGGAGTTTTTTCAGCCTCTTCAATAACAAATGATGAGATGTATTTAAAATCATTGGTAATCCTGCAATTTAGAAACCAGTTTCTTTGCATGCATTCTGTGCAAAAAAAAAATAAAAAAAAATCTACACAAATAAAAATGGGAAATTTGTACAGTGATAAGTGGTAGAAAAGATCTTAAGGCAGTTAGCATGTAATCTTACAAGGCATTTCTGTACCTTTTCTGTAGAGCTTAATGTTTTCAATTCAGTTTATTGAAGGCTTTGAGTACTTGACGTACTTTGAAGGACTGGCTCTTGTAAACAGGTCTGCCCCTGCCTTAAAATGTGGGACAAACAGGACTGCATGCTGCTGCACTTATGTATTTAGGCATATGGACCATTTAGGCACATGGAGAAGAAAATGAAGATTATATTAGAGTCTGTATATGTGTGTATGTGTTATTTCTAAAGTATGGTATGCAACACATTATTATACTTTTTCTCCTTCAATTCCTTGTAGAGAAGTTATTGTTCGGACTCATTTATACATAATTTGCATTGGTACTCCTGATTTTATTCACTTGAATTGGGAAGCTGTAAAGCATTTACTTATGTGATATAAGTTATTTATTTATTGCAATATTTTTAGCAGTGTCTTTTAAGAGTTGGTAATGGTTGTATTAAATAAACTGGTGGATTATGTGATCAATTTACTTAATTTTGAAAAATCAGACTGGATTTTGAGTTATGTATCTCAAACCAAATGTTATGACTTTTTTTTTTTTTTCTGGTTTCTTAAAAGTATCTATTTCTTTTATATTTAACAATACAGTTATGGGCAGAGAACAAGATGTATTTGAATTTATTTTATTAAAAATTTTGAATGAATATATTTGTGTGATTTATGTGTGTGTAAAGCAGAATCCAGCATACTCACGCTTGAGAAGAAAGCAGCAGTAGAATATGTCAGCAAAACAACTGAGTAGGATACTGAATGAGAAAAACAGCCCTACAATGCTGTATCTTCAGCATTACTTTTTCAAAACAGAGCTTACAAGTGTGTTAATAATTCTACTTGAAAGTACTAAAATACTTCAGAAAGGTGTACGAAGGGAAAAAGGGAGCTGGAAGGGAGGAGACTTGTTTCTAATTTTTTTGGTAGATATTTCTAACCTTTTTTGAAAAGGTTGTTATTAAATATATTTCTTAATCAGAACACTATTTTGAGTATCTGACTAATGTGTTCCATATGTGTGACTGGCTGTGTTCCCTGGTAGTCCATTTTACTATGACTTTGAAGTGTCTATTTTCTGCTTTTAAAATACTGATAAATACACACATAATTTAAATATATTCTATATATGTAAGCTGTGAGAAGTTTTTCATTGCTATTGAAGAACGTTTTCATTAGTCAAGATGCTGGATTTGAGTTCATCTTCCATTTAAATTGTCTCTCCTTGAGAAGGTGAGCTTACTTCTTTTGAACCGCTCTGTTACCACACTGAAGTTATCAGAATGTCAGCAATTGAATGTTAGGAAAGCTGGTGGTCATTAGTTCATGGTTTTATTTTCGATCTAGTTCTAGTTTTTTAGATTTCACAGCATAGCAATTGAACAGGTTTGTACACATCCTTTCTAGGAATTTTAGAAGTTATTATAAATTGATACAATTGCTTCAAAATCAATTTTAAAAGCTTTCTCTGTGTGGGGAAAAAAACCCCCCACAAAACAACTGTGTTAGAAAACATTTTTTGCAACTTCAAGATGTTTTAGTGTAGTTTTTATTTGCAAGTGTAGATGATTATCCCAAATGTCAACTTTATTATACAGAGAGGCTTGAATGGAAGTGGATATAATTATTATTGTCATATTTCCTGAAAACCTGTTTCCTAGGAGTCTTGTAACTTTAGTTCTACCCAGTGAAACAGTTCCTTCTGTGAAGAATTGGTAATGCAGCCTTGGGTACTATTTTTTATTTTCTGTTCCAGCCATTCCAATATTATATATTCTGTTCTCAGCTATTTCCAATATCCTTAGATATAGAAGTGGAAAAGGTCTCTCCATTTCAGAACTCCTTCAGGTCAGAATCTCTTATCCATACTATGTCCTGAAAATCTCAGATGATGGTTTGTTTCCAGTTATTAAACACTGTCTTTAAAATAGAGTTCAATTCCTTATCCTTACAATGGAAATTTCTGCTTGCTGTAATGGAGGCATTTGTTTATGCATTACGTATGTAGTTTGCAGTTACTTCACACAAAAACTTGTATTTGAATCTTCTTTTTAGACTGCTAAATTCCAGTGTCTGTATTGTTTTGTCTTATTACCTCTGCATAGGAATGTAGAGATAACCTTGCATTCTGCAGCCTCTATCACATGTACAAAGCAAAAAGCTCCTGTACAATAATCTGTTTTAATACTGTACTAAATTGTGTGCCTGTGTGTTTAAAAGAACAAATTATTCCATTATGAATATTAGCAGTTCTGCAAGGGAAAGCTTATAAACATAGGCTATGTGTACTTGAGGGTTACCCCTAAGAAAAGGGGCTCATTTATGTGCCATCTTACCCTTCAAACGTCAAGCTGGATCCTCCTGCTGTGTACCTGACCCCTGCTCATGTTGTCTTCCCAGGCTGGAGCACAGTCCTGTTTCTCAGTGTCTGGCTACATTAGGAATACAAGGCCAAACTCCAATTACTCCATTGTTATTTTTCCTGGCATTTTAAGTGCAGAATACTGATATATCGAGAGTAAACTTAATACCTGTGTTCTTTAGTCCTAGCTCGACTTGACAGGAGCAAAAACGTTTTCCTCAAGTAGTGCTCTTGTGACCAAAAAGAAGCAAAGGGGGCAACCGTGCACGTCTGAGACTGCTGCATCGCCTCAGGGAGCTGCTGCTTGGTTGCACCGGCTCGTGTTTGTCGTAAGGAAAGCTCAACTCCTGGGCTGAGGTTCACCCACAAACATTTGAGAGAGAAAAGCACCTTTAATCCTACTTTTTCCCGCAGCCCCGTTGTGAGAAGCGCTGACCGCAGCCTGTTAGGCTTCCTCACAGCGCAGGCCGCCCGCACAGCTTCTGCTTTTCATCCCGCGCGCGGGAAGCTCGCGCCGCCCTCCGGCAAACTCCCATTGGTTGCTCTGCCTTCGTCCCCACCAATGATCGAGCTGGGGGTGGAGTCTCTGGGCAGGCGAGAGAGGCGGGCTGTGCTGCGCCTGCGCGGAGGTTGGCGCGGCGCGCGGGATTCGGTTGGGGTGCGTTGTGGGGCTGAGGTGAGGCTGGCTGCTGTGTAGCGGAGGGACTGCGGTGCTGGGCGGCGGGAGGGAGAAGGGAAAAGGCCTGCGTGCAATTTAAAAAGCACGCTGTAGTCGTCTATTTATCCGCGCTGATACGCGTTCTAGCAGTGGAGGCGGGTTTGTGCCGGTCTGTTTCCTCGTCGAGCACTGCGGTAGGTTTGGCAGCGTTAACTGTGCTTTCAGAAGACGATGACCGAGCCCTGTAACGCGGCGCTCAGGAGCGGGCTGAACAACAGGTACCGCGTGTTGGAGGTCCGCCTGGTGCGGCGGGAGGGACGCGACCCTGAGAAGCACCTGGCGGTCAGCGCTTCCACATCGCCGGGAGATACGGAGCTGTGCGTCCTTCAGAACAGCTGGTGAGCGGTGCTTTGAGATTCTGCTGAGCTTCTGAAGCAGTTTAAGCCCTTAAATATAAGGAGATATTATAAGCATCAAGTATAGCATGTCGGTGTAAAATATGTCGGTTCTAAAATGGCTGAAAGGATAAATCTGTAATGACGAATCTGGAATGATTTGAAGTCATCAGGATTTCTCTTCATGTGGATTTGATCCGTGACCTAGTGCTCAGAATTAAAGTTTTGTCAGTAAAAAGCTCATAATAACCTCAGGTTTTGAAGTATGTTGAATCTGTTAATTTCTTACAGGTGGTATCCTGTGCTTGCAAATTGTTGTTGGAATGTTTTGCTTTACAGGGAGTCTGTTCCAGTTGTTCCAGGAGATATTGTTCATTTAGAAGGGGACTGTAGCTCTGGTACCTGGATAATAAATGAGCAGTCTGGATATCTCATTCTTTACCCAGATTTGCTGCTCTCTGGCACTACGATATCCAGTAGCATTCGATGTATGAGAAAAGCAGTGCTGAGTGAACGGTTTAGGGTAAGTCTTAAAACACCTGATGTTGTAGCATTAATAAGTTAATGTTTCAGCTGAGAATGGTGGCTTAGCTCAATAGTAAAACTGGAATGTGATATTGTAAAATGTCAGTAGCTAGTCATAACGTTTACAGAAAAAGAGCAATTCAGAGGGAAAACTTGCTTTTTGGACTACTTTTTTTTCTTTTTTTATTATGTTTTTTTTTCAGAATTTCAGTTGAAATTATTCTGAGTTGTTAATACAGAAAACGGGGACAAAAATATGCTTCTCGCTCTAGTTTTCTGGCAACTTCTTTTATACTCTTGTTCCTAGCCATGTTTTCTTGTGCGTAAGAAGTTTTTGCTAGATGTGCACTTCTTGTTGGCTATATGAAAATGTAGTCTTATTTGGCTACTAAAAAGCTTCTGAAACATCAGCCATTTCAGCAAAGGCTTTTCTGGTACCCCATGAGAAGCATGTGTTAGTTCCAGATCTAGCTTCTGTATGCCTGTACTGTAGTCAGGGTTGGTGTGGGCTAATTCTGGAATCTGTGCTGGAACTCAAAGAGAGAAAAGGTTTCTTGTGGTTGTCCTTGCTGATACGTGAGTGGTAGAGTAGCAATGGCTGCCAGTTACAGCTGAGGAAAACTAGACATGAGGAGCATGTAAATCTAGATGGACAAGGGAAGTAGTAAACAGGCTGGCTGGGGAACTGTGACCAGAGCAAGAAATTGAAGTGCAGGACGTTCAGACTGAAAAGAGATGTCAACAGGAGGCCTTCATTAGAGAAGTAACAGGAATAGATTAATTGTTGGGAAGGGACATGTATGGTCAGTGAATATAAAGATGTTATAATTATGAAATAAGCAAGAGAATTTGGCAGAGCAGATTATAATAACAAAAAGAAAATAGATAGAGAACTTACCCATGTCCTGGGCTCGCTGCAAAATGCCAGAGGAGGGATCTCCCGAAGAGATCTTTCCCCACTGGCAGTCAGCTCTTAAACGGGTCTAGGAGAGATGGAGCCAGGATCCACCCTTCTGGCAGCACAGGAGAATTGCCTTCACCTATGCTCGAATGGCTGATTCACTGCTCGCTTCAGGTGATCGATCAGAGGTTCAGGCTGTGATTCAGCAGTTCCCATACAGGACAACACAAAGGGTCCTGACTCTGATAACACCACTCTTTGAGTTGTGTTCAGGTCCTACACAGCTGGTTCTTTGAAAGATACCATTAACTTCCAAACAAACTGATTATCTTTCCAGCTGTTTGGTAGGGGCTTATGCAGAAGTCATAATTTATCCATTCCTGGCAGTGAGCTAGGTGGGTTTCTGAGCCACTCTGATGTTGGAGTAATTTTATGTGAGTTCATAAAATGCAGGAAATTGCTTCAAATATGGATAATGTAAACATAGTATTTCTAGGATAGTAAAGATTATTGCATTAGGAAATGCTGCTGTTAATGCTGTTCACAAGGAAAATCTTTTTGATATACACTTTAAAATGTGAATTTGTTCCTTCTTTAATTGCTTAGGGATTGTATCCTAACAGTGGATTTGGAATAAAAATGGGAGATAAAGCAATAGAAGAGACTCACTGCAGTTTGTCTGTATTTGCAGTCACATTTGAATCCATACTAATAAGTGAGATAAAAGATCTAATGATTTTGCTATTAAAACAATTGGGATGTGTCACATGCAACAAATAAGCCCAGAAATTCTGTGGAAAATCTGCATGAAGTGAATATGAATCTTAAACCTTTTGTACTGTGCCATTGTATTGCAGGGCTCTGAGTGTGGTTCACGGCAAACACTCATTGGTACAATTCTTCATGAAATTTTCCAGCAATCCGTAACAAATAACTTGGCACCTGAAAAAGTGGAGGAACTAGCAAATAAAATTGTTTTTGGGCAAAAGTATCTCAGAGAAATGTAAGTACGTTGCAAGGATCTGGTTTTATGTTTGGAAGATCAGATGCTTTAACAAATGGTTACTGTTATTAGGAGAGCATCTTACCAAACAATCTTAATGAAATTTTGGTATCTCTTATTTCCCTGCTCTATAATGTAATTTAATATGCCTGCCCTGCTGGAGTTAAATGGGAAATGTAGTTTATTTCTCTTAATGGGGGCTCAGCTGTACTTTTATTAATTAATAGGGTGAGGTGAATGTGTTGCTATCTGTGTTTTAAAGATGGTTCTTTGAACTTGACAATTATTTCCATGAATGTGAAGTACTTTGGTACCAAAGGTGAAGCTAATTTTGCCCTTGCCCTAATGTAAATGGCTTTGTTTTGTAGGTATCACTTGAAGCTGAAACAAACAGAGGTAATGCAGGAGATAGAAGAATATTTGCCTTCATTTTTTAAGTGGACAGAAGAGTTCATGCGCAATCCAGCTAACCAAAATCAAATGCAACTGAAACTGTAAGAATCCGAAATTAGAAATGATTCTAATTTGTGTATCTTATTTGGGACACTTTCAATTTTTAGAAGAGAGCTTTTTATACAAATCTCTTAACTGACATGGAGCAATTAATACCTACCTATACCTAAATAGCTAACACTGAGCTCCGTATTTAGTTGCAATTATGAGTAGTGGGAAAGACATCAAGAATGATTATTACAAGGCTGAGGGAGGACTAACATAAAAATCACAGTGATGTTAAAATCATTGTGAACAATGTGGTAGAGAGTAGATGCGTTAGTACTTAAATATCCTTGTTCTTTTAATCAGCTGACTAAGCTAGAAGTTGCTGTAAATATGACTAAAAACTGGAATATTAAACTAGTATTCCCATGTAATAGTTTGTCAGCGCACACATACTGCAATGTGTTTTAATCTTGAAATATTAAGGAAAATCATTAACTTCCCCCTTCCTTTGGTTTCTTCCTAGGCCAAGTGAAGACAAAACAGGAGATTGCTCTTCTAAGGTAGAAATTGTAGATATCTTAGACGTTGAAGAGAACATTTGGTCTCCCAGGTTTGGATTGAAGGGAAAGATTGATGTTACAGCCAGGGTGAAAATCCATCGTCGGTGCGGCGTACAGTCCAGGATAATGCCATTAGAGCTCAAATCTGGCAAGGAATCAAACTCTATAGAGCACAGGAGTCAGGTACAAAAAGAAGTGTAATTTGACTATTGGTGGCTATAAGCAATCTGTCTTATTAGAATGACTGACTTTGTCTCAAGAATATGAAACATTTGGTTTGTATGTGATGTAATCTGGATTTATGGGTGAGCAACCCTGGCATGCTCAAATCTGATGATTTAAAAATTAGCTGAGGTGTGGGAGCTATGCTTATTTAAGTCTTTCAAACAGCTTTATGGCTTTTATCCTAAAAAACTGTTGATTAGTCTCTTCTTACTAAACATTTGAGTATTAGCTCGAGGCAAAGAGCTTGAAGAACTATAATTGTGCATCTTGACAGATAGCTGGTCTGAGTGAGGGGCAGTCATGTATAAACTTTTGTTAAGGAAGATGCCTTATAAGTCAAATGCTTGGTTAGGTGCTTATTAGTTATGCTTTCTAAGTTATTTGTAATAGTAATGGCTACATAAATTATCTTATGAAGCTGTTTTAGTATTTATATATACATGACACGCAGTATGTTTCATATACAATGTTTGCAGGTTATCCTGTATACGCTGTTGAATTTAGAAAGGAGAGTGGATCCTGAAGCTGGATTTCTTCTTTATCTTAAAACTGGTACTATGTATCCTGTTACTGGAGCTCGCATGGATAGAAGAGGTGACGTTATCCTCCCGCCCTTGAAACCTACTTGATTAGTTATGTTACTTCATATGATTAACATAACGAGGCATTTCAGTAATAGTTGAACTAGCAGGATTTTCTCTCATGGAGCAAGGTATACTTGGCTGTATCATTTGTTGTAATTTTATTTATTCTATGAAGTTGATGTTCAAAACTGAAATATGTTTTATTAATACTTCATTAGGACTTTGCTATATGAGTATCTACTTCTTAGCTGACTGAAGTCTGATGCCTGGTTTCTTTAGGACTAAGAATGATTAAAAGCTACACTTAAAATATCAGCTTAGTTTGTTCTTTTTTTGACAGAATTAATAAAGCTAAGAAACCAGGTGGCCTTCTACTTAATGCACAGTATGTATAAATCTGCTGTGGGAAGACAGCAGTCACAGCTTGCTGCTTTGCCTCCTGTAATTGATGACAGTCAAGCCTGTAAATACTGTTCCCAAATACACAATTGCTTTGTATATAGCAGGTAAGAAAAAAATCCCACCACCCTGGTTTGATACTTGTTTTTTAAATAAGAATAACTTCAGCCTTTGATACTATTATTTGACCTTTGTGATTTGATGGCTTATTATTTCGTTATGACAACTCTTGCACTCCCAAACAACGTTCCATAAACTCCAGCATAATAACTCTTACATTTTCTTTGATCTGACCATTTGTTTTTTCAGGTTGTAGGAATGAAATTTTGAGGGAACTGGCTTTGTGCATAAGTGTAATATGGTTTAGTAATTGCTTCATAAATCATTATAACATTCAGGTATTGTGGCATTATGTTATTCCTAAGTCACCAGCTGTTTTAACAACTTTTGAACTAACTATTTTTTTCACTTGGTTTGCATTTTTATGTGCACGATTATGTATAAATGCCTATTGATGCTTAATTCCAAGGTGAGTTGACTTGAAGTCTGCTTTTTTATTAACTGTTAAATCCCATTTGCTTAAGTAAGCACCACTGTGGTATTCATATCTTACTAAAAAAGAAATAGAAGGTGAAATGCTTAAATGTTTGCAGAATTATTCTTGGGAGGTTTTCAATTGGTCTTCTACTTATTTTCCCTAATTCAAAGTCATACAAATGATGTGATTAAATGAGATTGTAGGAACAAAGGACATGTAATCAGCTTTATTTCAGTGATGATAAATTAAGTGCTATATTTTTCAGTGTTTCAGTATAAACTTAAATTTGTCTCATGTATAAACTGACTTGCAGGAAATGTGGTGGAAGTTGATTCTTTCCTGTACTTGGTTCTATTCCTAGAGCTGTAGAAGAAAGGATGGCTGGTGTGTCTTTTCCTCCTGCTATGATACCCATTATTGAAAAAGAGACGCAGCACCTGAAACCTTCCCATTTAGAGTACTTCAGTCTGTGGTATCTGATGTTAACCTTGGAGATGCAAAGTGGAGACAGTAAAAAGGGGTATAAAAATATATGGATGATACCTTCTTTGGAAAGGTAAGATGAATTTCTAACCTGGTACAAATGAGTGATTGGAAATGAGGCATTGTCAACTTGTAGTTTTCCTTACAAGAGAACCTAGATGTTTGCTACTACTTGTAGAAATAACCAGATGTACTTCTTGTCAAGTAGAGTTTGAGATGTGAGCTGATGAAATCATTAGCTTGCTACACTTACAGGTTATATATTTTTGATATATGTTTTTCTTTTGTTGTTGCTGTTAAGTCAGGCATGGGAAGCAGTAAGTTAATTGCAGTCTCTGCCTTTGGAAGTAGAAATTGTATCATTTTGTTTCAGTTCCTGAAGGCTGACACTGGATGTTGACTGTGAGTCCAGCTCACTGTGCTGGTTTTCTGAGGGTTTTATTGACAAATAATGATGTATTTTGGGCTCTGCTCCTATGCTTGCCTGAGAATGTGGATAAACACTAAGGGCTCTTGCTGGCTTTGGTACTTTCTGTCTTACATCCCTGGACATAGTAACTATGCAAAAATTAATGGGTGGTTTGTGGACCCATTTAAATGAGTTTGTTTATGTGGTGTTTTAGGTGAAACAAGCAATTTATTAAGCAAATAGCAAACATTTCAGTGAAATGTATCCATATATTTTAGTGTTCAGTTTTTAACAAAGTTATCTGTAATTTTATTTTAGATATCAGTTGAAGCAAGTATAAAGTGTTTGTATATCTTTACAATTCTTCTCTGGTCATAGAGGCTATTGAAAACGGACTAAATTTTTTTATTTCTTGCTTACATATATAAAATATTTGTCTTACTGAGGGGATCTTACACTGAAAAATTAATTTTTCTGTAATATCTTCACAGAGAAAAGGCTGGAGACTGTGTTGGAAACATGATCAGAATTGGTCAAGTTCAGGAAGTTTCCGAAGGACAATATCTGCATTCTTTCCAACGTAAAAATGGTGTTGTACCTGGAGCAAACCTCTTGGTTGGTGATAGAGTCGTTGTGAGTGGAGAAGAAAATGGTTTGCTTGGCTTGGCTACTGGCTACGTGAGAGAAATCAGTGCAACAACAATCTCCTGTTTGTTGGGCAGGTAATAGAATAAAAGGGAAAACATCTGCTTGGCAGCACTGTGATATAGGCTTCGAGAAAGGCACTCCCAGGCCTCAAAAAAGCTCTGAAATGGTCTGACTCCTCTTGCTTGGCTCACGGAGGTATATTCTAAAAATCATGACTGAAGGTGGCAGATCAGTGTCCCTATGCCTATGTTGACTGATTAAAAAATATACCTGCAAAGTGTATCTCCAACATAAGTTTCCATGGATACTCTGGTTGTTTTTGTTATTAGTAACTTTAATTATTCGGACTACACTGCCTTGAAATGTGCCCTTATTAATGAGACTTTTATCATCAACTTACTGCTTGTAAGCAGAATTAATTTGTGCATCTTACTGTCGTCCTTCAGGAATTTATCAAAGCTCCCTGAGAGTACCACTTTTAGGTTGGATCATGAAGAAGGAGACTGTGGTATAGGAGTTCCCTTTGAAAACCTCTCTAAACTGATGAAAGATTCCCCGGTCAGGTATGAAGAATCAAATTAATTTCACACTTTGAGTATTTTTAGGTTTTTCTCAATGAGAAACTCACGATTCTTGTATTTTTGCATCTGCAGTGAAAAGCTCCGCAACTTGATCATTGACTTCCACAAACCTCGTTTTATTCAGCATTTGAGCTCAGTCCTTCCTCCAGAAGCAAAGGAGGCTGTTGCAAGTATTTTAAAAGGTATTAAGGCTTTGTTTTTTTTCCTCCTAAAGTCTTATGATTAATGGTATATTTCTATTGCCAAAGCATTTATCACAGTTGATACAAGCTCTCTTTTTCTACATCAGGGTCTAGTAGCAGTTTTTTGTTTAAAAATAAATTCTGGCATTACATGTCTTTCTGTGACATTTCTTTCATTTCATTACATTACATTGCATGTCTTTCTGTGATCAGTCGAGCTACTTGGAAGATGTGACCAGATGTCTGCTTAGAATTTTGTTTTGCTTTTAATAGTTCCTGTAGCTTGTAGTTTTAGTGTTCTCTAATTGTTACAAAATTGGGAACGAGGAAGACTTGGGATAGAGGAAGTGGATTTTGAGGCGGTGGAAGGAAGGAGATGGGCTTTGATGGAAACATTCACTTCTATAGGCTCTTCTATTGACTTGTTGACTACTCTGCAATATATGAAGCTTTGTGGCACTCCTGGTTTTTTTTTTTTTTGTTGTTGTTGAACAGAGGATGTATGTGATAGTGTCAAAGTCAGTGAAAATAGCACTACTGCTGACTGAGATGTCTTTGAAAACATAACTCACTTGTCTTAAAACAAATAACTTCTTATTAAAAACTTTGTGAAAACTAAAAGATGCACATTGTTGCTTGGAGGTCTGCTTCAAATAAGAATTTTGCCCAGCCTTCTAGCAAACCACTGAAAGGGGAAGGAAATGAGAGGAAGGTGTATGTGCTAGAACTGAAGAATGATGGATTAACAAATACTGGAAGACAGGGAGTAACAGTTCCTTCCCATACTTGCAAACAAAACCTGGCTTTCAGTAAGACACCAATAATTCTCCATGCTCCTTGTTTGTTTGTTTGTTTGTTTTTGCTTGAGCTTTGCCTAATCCAAATAGCCAGACTGTACTGCTCATCTGCATCAGACTGGGGAAACACAGCTCTGGTTTCTTCTTGTGGTGTTTTTTTTTTTTTTTTCTGAGCAAGAAAGATGATGCTATCTGTGCAATTCACTTTGCATGTTTGAATATGAAAATGGATATGATGAAAAGAAAAATGGAAAATAGCAACAAGATATCAATCACATTTAGGCTATCAGAAAAAATAAACTGCAGAAGGTCACAAAACATCTTCAATGACGTGTTTCTGAGATAGCAGTACAGACCCTGTACTACTTGTCTGCATATTGCAAAGTTGAACGTTATTGCTCTAGCAATTATGAAGTATAGACATTTTCCTGTTATTTTTTCTGCTTTAAAGGTCTGAATAAGCCTCAGAAACAGGCAATGAAACAAGTGCTGCTTTCAAAAGACTACACGCTTATTGTGGGTATGCCAGGAACAGGAAAAACAACTACAATATGTGCTCTGGTAAGATCCTGTGCTTTGATTTTGAAAAGATTTGTAAGATTTGGAGAGCATTAAACACGTTTTATGCTCTTCTCAAGTAATGGCCCTAACTCAGTGTACTGCTATTGGTGTAATTTCAAAGAAGGAAACTTTTTGTTTTAAGAACTTTTATTTGATGGAACTGAAAATTTGCTCTGTGGAATAGGATTGTCTTTTGCTTCTATGGGAATATGTGAGAGGGAAGAAATTGAAGTAATACTTAATCACTTTGTGACATTTTAATGATACAGTTTTTGTCCCTAAATGCCAACAAGTCCTCAAGACTTGAATTGCAGCTCAAAAAAAGGACTCCTTGGGGAAGTCTACAATTTGCCCAATGGGAGCTGTATAAACCCAAGGTGCTGAAGCTGTGTGGTCCAGCCACTGACCCTTCTGGTGAGTGGTTTTCTCTCCCCAGAAATGGGCTGCAGGAACTTACTGGGTTCAGGCCGTGGGCTGAGCTGTTCCTGAAAGAAGTGATATTTCACATCCAGTTGTTATCTTTCCTGAATGGGTGTTTTGTCTTCTGCCTCCTTTCATTTCCCTGCTGCATGAGAACTGGTGGGGCAAGAGGAAGATGAAGAGTGAGCAAGCTGCTGCTGTTACTGGATCAGCTCATTCCACTGAATTTGATGTTAAACTCTCATGGGGAAAATTATTTCCAGAATTGGTCTGTAAAGCTTCTGCATACAGTATTGATATTCTTTGGCACACTGCCTTTTTAATGTAGTTTGCAAGCATGTGTAGATGTCCTTCTCTTACTCTTCTGTATCACGTGTAGTAAGCCTGCTGTTTAGGAGATGTGTCAGTTCTGTTGCTCATATTCCCTTGATAACAGCACACTAGCTGATTTGGCTGGGAAGAATTATATTAATGAAGTCATACTTGCTGTTGGCTCCATCTGAAAACTTAGTGTTCCACCCCAGCCTTGGTCACGCGAAGTCTTTCTGTAAGCTAAAAGCAATTTTTTTTTTTTTTCCTCTTCTCCACTCACTAGGTGAGAATTCTCTCTGCTTGTGGCTTCAGTGTTCTTCTGACTAGTTTTACACACACTGCTGTGGACAATATCCTGCTGAAGCTAGCCAAATTCAAAGTAGGCTTCTTGCGTTTGGGAAGAGCTCAGAAGGTTCATCCAGATATACGGAAATTTACAGAAGAAGAAATTTGCAGGTCCAAATCAATTAAGTCTGTAATGGATTTGGAAGAGCTCTACAACAGTCAGGTGAGAGAAGTGTTTCTGCAAGGCCTGCAATGCATATTATGTTAGTATTCTGGTTGCTCAGATGCTGTAGAGTTAGGAACCCATCTCAAGAGTGTGTTACTGGCAGGAGAAATCTGTGCTGAAACAGATGCTCAATTCCTGCATCATTGCAATTTCATTACAGCCAAGAATGACTAATTCTAGTAGTCTAAAAGCTGAAAAGCATTTTTTATGTTTACACAAAATAACTGATAATTACATTTAAAAATTCCCAAAGAGCTGAAGAAACAGGTGGTGGCAACTTCAAAGTAAATTAATTGAAAGAGTGAGATTTCAAGATTGAAAGACTTTAAGAACACAAGGTCAATATGTGTGCAGCGTGAATGGCATTGATTTAAAGGGCTAAAATATATTGGTTTTATCTTTAGTTAATTTAAATGGGTTTTTTTTTGTTTGTTTGTTTTTTTAAACCAGAAAAATTTTCTGTGCAGGGATTGAAGCTTTCTCTTATTAGTGTGTCTCGATTTTTCAGCCAGTGGTAGCAACAGCCTGCATGGGCATAAATCACCCCATCTTTGTTCAGAAGCAGTTTGATTTCTGTATAGTTGATGAAGCTTCCCAGATAAGCCAGCCCATCTGTCTGGGGCCACTGTTCTGTTCCAAACGGTTTGTGCTGGTGGGGGACCATCAGCAGCTGCCTCCACTTGTACAGAATTCAGAAGCAAGGTGAGATTTGCTGGACAAGTACCAGTAATATGAATTTTGGGAGGGCTTTTGCAGTATGTTGTCTGACATGCTTTTGTGAATTGTTTACTTTGTACTAGAGATCTTGGTATGAGTGAAAGTTTATTTAAAAGGCTGGAGCAAAACCAAAATGCTGTTGTCCAGTTGACTGTGCAATACAGAATGAACAGGTATGTTGGTATGTTAAACTTATTTGTTAGAGTAGGTTTCCTTTTTTTTTTTTTTTTTTTTTTAAACATGATATTGAAATTACAAGATTTGACACCACTTCTTTCTTCTTCATCCTTAGTAAAATAATGTCACTGAGTAACAAGCTAGTGTATGAAGGCAAACTGGAATGTGGATCAGAGAAGGTGTCAAATGCCACTGCTAATTTGCCAAATCTAAAAATGCTGAAACTGGAGCTTGCAGATGCTTCAAAAACGTGGTTGAAAGAAGTACTTGAGCCAGACAAACCTGTATGTTTTCTGAACACTGAAAAGGTCAAGTTCATTTATTTCTCTTCCATTTAAATTTTGTTATATGCTAGAAAATCCATCTCACGTGTAGAAGTCCGTCTTCAATATAAGGTTCATGTATTACAGCAGTCAAGCAACATGAAAAGAATCCTCACCACAAAAAGTCTATTTTTATTATATGTATTGTATAAATGTGAAATCAGATGATGGAGCTTTGACAGTTTCTTGAGGTGAATTGCTCTTACTAGAAATTTGGAGTTATGAAATGGCTATTACTGGAAACAAGTTCTGTCTAATTGTTTCAACATGTTTTGTAAATGCTCTATTCTGAGGTTAATTTCTGATACAGGTACTCTGTAGAATTTAGCATTTACCCCTACCTTAAAAAAAAAAAAAGTAGCATAAACAGTGTATGATAGAGTGAGTTAAGGATCAAAATACAGTGCACCTTCAGAGATGCTCATTATTTTACATTTATATTTTTAAAGGTCCCAGCACCAGAACACACAGAAAAAGGTGGTGTATGTAATGTGACAGAAGCCAAACTAGTGTTCTTCCTCACAACTTTATTCATTAAGGTATCTTTTACTTGAATGTTGCTTAAGAGGGAGTGTTCTGTAATTAATCTTTCATTGCTGTGGAAATTCTGACTACGTGTGTGTGGTTATTCTTGGAGGGATAACTGTGAGGGTAAATTCATGGTTGGCTTTGTGTTGCTACGTAAGGGGTCTGAAGTCGGCATTCAATTCCCTGTCGCATGCCTGGTTGGAGTTTGGGGTGAAATAAAAGCTGAGTGCTAAATTCTTTAAGAGATGAGGATGGGCTTTCTTGTGAGGGGGAGGGGAAGGGATTTGCCTTTCTCCCTTATTTCATAGAATCACAGAGTTGCACAGGTTGGAAAAGACCTAAAAAGATCACCAAGTCCAACTGCAACCTAACCACACTACCCTAACTCTAACCACCCACCGCTAAATTATGTCCCTGAGCACCACATCCAAACAGATTTTAATCACATTCAAGGATGGTGACTCAACCACCTCCCTGGGGAGCCTATTGCACTGCCTAACATCCCTTTCTGTAAAGAAGTTTTTCCTGATATCCAACCTAAACCTCCCCTAGAGCAACTTGAGGCCATAATCTAGTCAACTTGAGGAGTGCTGCAGACTAATGAATAGTTCTGCATATGTACTTCCCAGTCTGAAGAAGAAAGAAGAATGAGGATTTTGAGAATGCCTGTCTATGCTAGGTGAAGACAAAGCTTGGGATCTCGCAGTAATTAATATTTTCCTTGATTTATACCAATCTCATTTAGAGTTCCATTGATTTCTTACTGCAGAGATGATAGCTTGCAGCACTATTTTAAAAAAAAAAAAAAAAATCTTACAGCTTCTTCAGCTGGGGAAAAAAAAAAGAAAAACAAGTTAACTACAGTGACTATTTTCTGTTTTTGCTTCACTTAGGCTGGCTGTAAGCCTTCAGACATTGGTATTATATCGCCATACAGACATCAGTTGAAAGTAATCACTGATTTGATGGCAAGACTGAAGGAGAGCAGAGTGGAAGTCAACACTATAGACAAATACCAAGGAAGAGACAAAAGTATCATAATTGTGTCTTTTGTTAGGAACAGTAACGATGAAAATGTGAGTTGTTCATCCTAACCTGACTTTCATTCCAGTTTAAAAACTATCCTGAACCTTAAACTTAGATACATTTTGAAAATTATTCACCTCTAATTCTGTAATTTACATGGGAAAAATAAAAGCAGATTGTTTATTTATCAGCTTGGTGCCCTCCTGAAGGATTGGAGACGACTCAATGTTGCTATCACAAGAGCCAAGCACAAACTCATCATGGTGGGCTGCGTTCCATCACTCCGCCGCTACCCTCCTTTGGAGAAGCTGCTCTGCCATCTGCAGTCTGAGGCAATGATATCCTTTTTCAACACTGTTTTGTGAAAGGGGGAAGGTAAGACTACTTTGGATAGGAGGTAAGAATGGGAAGACCTTTGATCGTTTAGATTATATTTGTAATGCTAATTGTCAGCACGGTATGCATGCATGCATGGTCTGCGTGTGCCAGGAGCAGACTTTGATGACAAGCTAATAGGCAGATCTAGGACTTCCATTCTGTCTTGAAAAGTAGAAATAAAACTCCATGGTGATTTGCAAATCAACTTTGATATAGCTTTTTATTTAAAATTTGATGAGTACATTTTTAATGCTTTTGCTTTCTGCATTTTCTTTTTCCCGATTGTCTTGGTTTCAGGGCATCTTCACGTCAGTGTGATGATTATTTTTGGAAGAGCCATTTATTTAAACACCTATTGAGAGAATGCTTCAGGATTAAGGTTCCTAACTTAGAAAATTGTTTAACCTGTGAGCTGTTCATCTTTTTCTTCATTCTCTCTGGCACTGTATCAAGTCTGTTCTTGTTTCAGCTCCTTGCATCTCCTATTTAAATAGGAAAGTTAGATGTTTTCTTTACAGATGACATCTGTACATACTCGTACACTTCCTGTTTGTTTTGTTTCTGAAAGCAGCACATCCCTAAGATGCTTACGAGCTACTTCCTTAACTTCCTACATCTTCAATCTTCCTGCAGGGGCTCATGAAGGTATCCACAAATGTAACATTTTATGATTGTGAAGACTGAGTGTTTTAGAAGATATTTCTTGTATATTTTGTTCTGGTGCTGCTGAATGTAAATTATTGCTTTGTGGAATGTGAGTGCTGACATGCACAGTTCAGTTTTGGCTTCATTCAGATTGAAATTATTTTCAATGATTTTAAATGTTTCTTTCAGTAAAAGTAACGATACACATTTCTTTAATAAACTGATTGTTGAGTTGGTCCTTTTAGAACCAGGGGACGTGTAACAAACCAGGCATGTAAAGTATTTGGTTCCTTCAGGTACTGTTTAGCTGTTTCTATGCTCATTTTTTATTTTGGTAAACACATTTCTGCTTATATGGATGGGGGGATAAGTTTGAGGAGGAGGCCTGGGCAGAGTTCAGTGCTGTACTGAGCCACTACTGAGTTCTCTGTGCTCAGTTTGATTTTACACATTAAAATGTAGGTCACATCCACTAATCCCATTTATTAACATTCCTAATTAAAATGCTGTGTTGTGTGGTTTGGGGAAAAAAGCCTCATGGTCTTTTGATTTTTGCTTTTAAGTACAGAACATTTTAATTTTTATATACATAATGTAATGAATCTCTCAGCTGAAGCTCTCTTGCTTATTTCTGTAATCCCTTGGTTTTTCCATGCAAGTGGGGCAAGGGTGATAGGGATGCACTGAACTCCTTTTTCTGAGCAGTTCGAGGGAAAGAAAGGAACTGGACCAGCTCTCCCTAGCTGCAGCTCTGCCTGCGGCTCGTAGTTGTTTCAATCCACCAAACGAGGAACCAAGTGGTTCACATTCCTTTGACCTGTGTCACTTCTGAAACTTTCTCGTACAGGCACAGTCCGTGATGCCAGGTTTTGAGCAATCCTCCGTGCTCTGCTCTTTCCTGGGCTAATTCTAAAAGTAAAAACGAGCGTGACCAGAAACAGCGTATTTCCGTCCTGAAATGCCCGCGCCTTCCTTCCCCCACAGCCAGGCTCGCTAACATCCCGCGCAGGGCCGGAGTATCGCGATAACTGCGAGCTGCAGTGGGGGGCGGTCTTCCCGCCGCAGGGGGCGCCCTTGGGGCCGGGCTCCGGCAGCAGCGGGTGGGGTGGGGAGGGAGGAGGCGCAGGGAGCGGCCGGCGGCTCCTCCTCCTCCTTTCCAGCCATGGGTGAGCGGCGCCGGGCCGGGGGCTGCGGGGCATTGGGGGCGCGAGCAGAAAATGTCCGCTGTCAGGCTTCGAGGGGCGGCAACGCGGCCGGGGCCGTGGCGGCGGGCGGTTGTTGCGCCGGAGCCGAGGGCTTTCCGCCGTCTCAGGGGAGGGCGGAGCGGCGGTGGGAGGCGCGGGCGGGACCCCGCCGCATCCGTGGTGCGGAGACCGCTCGATATCCGCGTATACGGGGCGGGGGACCCTCCGTGGTGTTCCTGGAGCGGCCGCCGGCGGCCCGTGCAGCCCGCGCGTTGCGTCTCAGCAGCCACGTGAAAGCAAAGAGCGCCGTGCGGGTGGGTCGGGCTGGCGCTGAGCGGGGGGCTGCGTGCTCTCGCAGGGCTGGGGCTGCTCAGCACCTCGCCGGCTGTTCGTGCTGCCAGCTGTGTGACAGTGTTCTCTATTGAAGTGCCTGTAAATTGAAGCTACGTGGAAGTAATCGTTAAGGTCGTCTTAGGTGCGTTACCTCAGCAATGCTGCTTTTCTAGAAGAAGTGAGGTAGGCTGGGTTGTGTGCTACTTTGGTGTTTGATGGGCAGTTAGGAATAGAGAACATTAAGAAGGTAGTTTTCTAAGCTTCTGATGTCTAAAAGCCTAAAGTGGTGCCATTAAAGAAGTCAGACAAGTGATTTGATTGCTTTTGGAGTAACCCAGTGAGAATCTGGCTGTTATAAAAAAAAAAATGCACACACACATATATAATATTTAATTGCAAACAGTAGAAAGCAATAAATCATAAACTTCTTTTCCTTTTTTCCAATCCTTTTGATCCTGGTGAATGAACAGTGTGGCTTTGTCTCGTGTTTCCATTTGGTAAAATAGATGGCAGCCTGAGTGTTTGAGATGCTTCATTATGAGTGAAAATGAAGTAGGAATCTCCCGAATACTGCTCTCATTAGCTGTAGCTCTGAAGAGAGGAACCTTATCTGTTCTGTCTGATTAGAGTGACTTTGAAAAGCTGTGGGAATCTTACTGATAAGGTTTAATCCCTAAACGTAAATTTCTTCATGTACGTTCTGGACAGTGTGTTTTTAATTAGAACTATTGGCAAAAACTTTATTTACTACACTTAGATTTTTTTCTGCCTAGGAAATATTTTGTATCTATAACAAGGATCTTGGGTTTTCATTTTTACTTATTTTTGTTGTTGTAAAGAAAAAAAAAACAAGTGTACATACATTATGTTTTCATGAAACCACTCTAGATTTACTCACTGAGAGTAGCTCCAGCCACAAACGGAAAACATATCCTTTAATCAAGTAAAGGATAGTAGAGCCACTATGGAGAATAATCCTATAGAGGAGAGAACTGTTGCGAGCCTATTATGCTACAATATACCAAGCAGGAATGCTTCCTAGATGCGGTGGTAAGGGCACTGATTGCTCCTAAGCAGCTGAGCGTTTTAGCACAGCATTGATGATCATGCTACCTTGTTTCTGACTGCTACCCAGAGGTGCAAGGACAACAAGGTAACTGAGAACTGATGTTTTTGGCCTCCGTTTTTGATTCACCTGTTACAACAGCGTAGGATCTGTGAAGGTGTTTGTTCTGCACCATCCACCTCTCTATGACGTGGTGGCCTGTAGCACTTACTGAATTATTCCTTTGAATTTACCTAGTTTAAGGTAAGCTTTCTTTGAGCAAGGCAGCTATGAATCATTTCATCGTTTTGCATCCTTCTAAAGCTTGAACCATGACATTTTTTTCTTTCTTGCCTTAGCTGTAAAAGATCCAACAGCTGTAGAAAGAGCAAATTTACTGAACATGGCCAAACTGAGTATCAAAGGACTCATTGAATCAGCTTTGAGCTTTGGCCGTACTCTGGATTCTGACTACCCTCCTCTGCAGCAGTTCTTTGTTGTCATGGAGCACTGTCTGAAGCATGGCCTTAAAGGTGTGGTGGTTATTCTAGATGCATGTTTCTCATCCCAAACATGCAGTCTTTCTTCCTTTCTCTGTTGAATAAGATCTAAGTGTGTGCCTATTTCTTTAAGGAGAGAGTAAAGTATGTAAATTCTCTCCTTCTGTAATCGATGCTGTCACTAGTACTTCACAACTTGCATTTCTGCATCTGCCAACTTTTTGCTTTGTAAACTGTTTATTGTGAGTGATCCAGGAATTCAACATCTGTATGTGTGTAGCATGTAACTAGACATTTTTTTTTTATTGTCTTGTTCTAGCAGCAGCAGTTTAATGTTCACAGCAAAGTAATTTATAAGATGACTGGGCACTGACGAACTGGTCAGCTATTTTTGAAGGAAACTGCTCCAGCATTTCAATTAACTCAGTGATGTTTTTTGTTTTCTAGTAAGAAAATCCTTTTTAAGTTACAATAAAACTATCTGGGGTCCTTTGGAACTTGTGGAGAAATTATATCCAGAAGCTGAGGAAATAGCAGCGAGTGTCAGAGATTTGCCCGGCCTCAAGTAAGTTGCGTTGGTAAAATATACTGCAAGAAATACAAGATCTGAATGAGAATCTACAGTTGTCATTATTTAATTTGGCTTTAATCAAGCCTTTGAACAGCTGATATTGGGGGAGTGCACAGGGGGATCTTGTTGCTACTTATGTTCCACATGAAAGACCTACGAAAGTGGGAATTCTATGTGCTTTTCTGATATTTTTGGGAGAAAACTTCTCTGAGCAGTGGACAACACCAGTACAAAAAGAAATAGGTTCTGTATCACAGTCTACAGTCTAGAACTGTAGCAAATACGTACTCTGAACGAAAAGAAAAGGTACCATACTGAAGTGAAAAGAATGGGATGGCTCTTTGGATTCTCATAGAAATATCCTCCAGCGCAGGATCCTTCTGGAATATGAATTTATGCTGTAGGCTACAGTCTCTTTCCATCCCTCTGCACTCTGCTTTTGCATCTAGCTGTGTAGCTGACTGCATATTCAATTCTGAAAGGGCTCGTTTACATTGAGAGTGATTATGTGGTTAGCATTAAGATTGTAAGTTTTAGCTTTAGACCTCATCTAAAGTATATGGGTATACTAATTATTATTTACTCTTGTATCAAGCTTGATGATCAACCTTTGGTTATATTTGTTGTACTTTCCATCTTGATATAGCATATCAGTGTGGGTTTTGACTTGTTTTTTTTTTTTTTTTTCCCTTTTCCACTTCTGTGCACATCACTTTGTAAGTGCATACCTACAGGAAAACGTTCAGGTTTAATTTGTTAGATATTAATGTTTACTAGCTAAATTTGCCATCATTTTCTTTGAATTATCTTATTAAGGTACCACAATTTTTGAAGATATACAACTTGAAATTAGAACATGGTGTGTGTTGTGTAGAGTTGTACTGTGTTGTTCAGTAGTTTAAAAACTATTTCTGAAACCAGAATAGTTTCGGAAATGTTAATTGCTCTATCGGTAGACTGATAAGATAATCAAGACAGTAAATTAATCGATATATTGTTGATTTTGGACTGTTTGTTTTCTCCATCCCCTTTTTCCAGAACACCACTGGGCCGTGCCCGGGCCTGGTTACGGTTGGCACTAATGCAGAAGAAAATGGCTGACTATCTTCGCTGTTTAATCATTCAGAGAGAGCTTCTCAGGTAAATAGATTTTGTTTAGAATTTATTTTTATACATGTAGTCTCCTGAAAAATAGTGTTTCCTATTTGCTGCTTTTTAATATATCCTTAAAAAAAAAACAACCAAACAAGACATAGCTTCTGGCATCTGGGCTGATTTCCTCCAGTCCTGGTGATCAAGAGACCAAACCCTGTTGTCTCATGAAGACTGAGGGCCAGCTGATGGATGAAGAGATGTCTCCCCCCATCATCTGCAGCGTGCCTCACTGCTCTTTCATTGATGAGGGGACGGGGAAGGGCTCCTGCTGTGTTCCTCAGCCATGCAGAGTGTGGATTGGAAGCATGTGGAGAGAAGATTAATTCACCCTTACCATATGCATGGTTTCCTCCTAATCAGCCATTGTGTGGAGGATTGCTGACTTGAATTTGCCCTTCCTTTCACAGTTCTAAATCTGACGCTGCTTTCTTCTAGTATAATTTCTCCTTTGTGATGAGCTGAGTGAAGCACAAAGGAAAGAAGGACTTACCATCTTATTTTCAGTTCTGTCACTTGTGAATATTTTGAAGAATTGTTGTTTACCTCAGATAATGCTGATGCGTCAGGATGACATTGATGGTCAACAGTGGTGGACTTTTCCACTGAATGAGCAGTTTGTTTCATAGGGTCTAAAGTTTATTTAGAGAATGCAAGGAGGATATTGATATTCTGTGGCTTGGAGTGTTTTTCTTTTAAAAACCTTTACATAATTTCATTTCTTCCTGTTTTTCTTAAACCCTTTAATCTCTTACTTTGCTTATTTAATTTCAAGTATGTCTTCATTGATGTCCAGACTGTTTTATCGCAAGAGTTCTGTCAGAGTGGCTACTACAAGCATACAGGGAAGACCCTTTATTTAAAAGCAAGAGAAGTCTTCCT